GGCCGTCATTTCCTTTTCATGGGCGCTGTACCTTGTCTCCGCATCCTTCAGTTTCCGACTTTCAAAGGCCACAGGGTGCTCATCCTGCACAAGCACTCCGCCTAAAGCTCGGTCTGAGGCATCGGTATGGACTTCGAACGGGGCAGCAAAGTCTGGCAACTTCAGGACTGGCTCACTAGCCACGGCCTTCTTCAAATCTTCAAAGGCACGCTGACAGGCCTCTGTCCAGTTCCAACTCTGCTTCTTCCTCGTCAAATCTGTCAAAGGGTTTGCCCTTTTGGAATAGCCGCTAATGAACCGCCGATAATAGTTGGCTAACCCAAGGAACGATCTCAACTGTCCCACATCCCTAGGGACCGGCCAGTCAACAATGGCTTCAACTTTCTTTGAATCCATTTTGATTTCTCCCTGGCTAATCACATGCCCAAGGAACGAAATCTGGCCCATGCAAAACTCGCATTTTTCTTTCTTAACATACAACTCGTTCCTACGCAGTTGCGTTAAGACCTTTCTAAGATGCACAATGTGGTCTTCAACAGAGTTCGAATACACCACAATGTCATCCAAATACACAACGACAAACAAATCAAGATACTTGTAAAGAACATCATTCATTAAGTTGCAGAAAGTTGCCGGGGCATTGGTTAGCCCAAACGGCATTACAAGGAATTCATAGGAGCCATATCTAGTGACTATGGTCGTTTTACCCTCATCTCCGGGACTGATTCTGACTTGCCAATAGCCCGCCCTCAAATCCAGCTTTGAGAAAACCCTCGCCTTCGACAGCTTGTCAAACAAGTCCTGTGCGTTCGGTATTGGATACTTGTTCTTCACAGTGACCTTGTTCAAGGCTCGGTAATCAGCACACATCCGGAGGGAACCATCATGCTTCCGCTGGAACAGAACTGGAGCGCCATAGGGTGCCTTGGAAGGCTGCAACAGGCCGCTCTCCAGCAACTCGTTCAACTGGGACCGCAACTCCTCCAACTCCGATGGGGACATCCGATAAGGGGCCTGGGCAGGTGGCCTCGCTCCTGGAACCAATTCAATCTTGTGATCCACAGCACGTCTAGGAGGCAACTTCTTGGGCAACTCCGGTGGCATCACATCTTTGAATTCTTCCAACAAGTCAGCAACTCTTTCCGGAACATCTTGGTAAATCCCTTCCTTGGTCTCAATCATGACAGCCAGATACGTCTCGTATCCACGCTTCATGCCTTTCTTAATCTGCATAGCCGAGCATGCGGCAATCCCTTTTGCCTTACCTTGGTCCGTGTACCTGCCTCTCACAAAGCCAGGCTTCTCTTCGTCGTTGATCATCATCCCTCCTAAATAGGGAAACACTGCCACCCTTGCAGCCAGGAGAAACTCGTTCCCCAAGATCACGTCAAAGTCATCCAGTGGCAGCACTGTCAGGCTACAGACTCCTGACCAGTCTCCGACTTTGAGAGAAACATCTGCCCGACCAGTAACATCTCTGGCCGCGGCATTCACCGTCTTCATCTTGGAACTATTCTCCTCAAGTTCAAGTCGCAACTTAGGAATCAACCTTTCCGCAACAAAGTTATGACTTGCACCAGTGTCGACCATCGCCAAGATCTCGACACCGTTGATCTGTACATTCACGTACATCAACCCCCGGTTAACCACCCGTTGGGGTCTCTCATTCATAGCAGTCAGCAACTGAAGAGGGCTACAATGGGACGGACCAGCCCCTTGGTCCTTCGATTCCCCTTCAACCATGGCATTTATCTTGGAGGCTTTGGGACAGTCACGCTGAAAATGGTCTCCCCCACATGTCCAACACCCGGACTGAGACTTGTCCTTCTTTCCTCCATCAGAAGAAGACTTCGAGTCCTTCTTCTTAGACTTGTCCTTCCCACCATGCTTTGCCTTGCCAGCCTGGTCCTTCTTGCCGTGGTCCCCCTTTTTGCCTTGAGGGGCCGTTGCTTTGAAGTCAACCAAACTCTCCGCCTCAGCCATAGCCGTGGGTAAGTCTTTCACAGCCAGTCTCCGCAACTCGGCCTGCGCCCATGGTTGTAAGCCACTCATGAAGTTGAAGAGTTTATCCTCATCGCTCATGTTATGAATGTCTAACATGAGTGAGGAGAACTCCTTCACGTACTCACGGATTGAACCGCTATGTTTCAATTTCTTCAACGATTCCCGCGCCATCCAGGAAACGTTATGTGGAAGGAATTGTGCCTTCAATTCCCGCTTGAGCCCTTCCCATGACTCAATGCCTTGCCTTCCAGAAGCCACATCGTCCGCCGATCTGCCTCGCCACCAAAGCTTAGCATCCTCGGACAGGTACATAGGAGCAATCACAACTTTCTCCTCTTCCGGAATCTTGGCAGCCTTGAAATATTCCTCCATGTCCCAAAGGAAATTCTCCAATTCCTTTGCGTTTCGGGCACCAGCAAAACACTTCGGCTCCGGAACCCTGACTTTTGAAGAACTGCCATCCACACCCGGGCGCGGGCCCGTTGCCAGGGCTTTCTTCAAAATCATAATCTCGGTTTTGAGAATCTCATTCTCACTTTCAAACTCCATCCTCGAGGCTTCCACCATCTCAAGCCGCTGCAACACGGGCTTAAGTGCATCCTCGATCAGGCTTTGAATAAAGATCCTTGCGGTGTCCGGACTTTCCTGGTCGCCCATAAACGAAGCACTGTCGTCAGCCATCAGCTCTGATACCAATTGTTACACAGGGAAATTCTGGACTTAGAATTTTCGCTCGTGTACGGCCTATCTTAACCCTTAAGATAGTCAGCCTAACTCACAAACCCGTTTTACTTAGGTTTAGGGACACTTGGGACACTTAGAATAAACTCAAGGCACACACAACACTTTACGGTCAACGACCAACCTTGTATTAATCTCACAAAATAATACAAAGGACAATACAAGCAATGCCACGCACTCTTGCCTACAAAACTCGTGGTTATGCCGCGGCGCAATTTATAGACCGGCCAGGTCTGGCAGTTACAAGCCAACTGCCATAGCTAAAGGACGCGTCTCTTCGTTGGGCAACAGTTGAAGCCGCACAGCCAATGCCACCGGTTCGCTCCCTTGGTGCATCCGTTTGCTTCATGCCGCGCGTAAACCCGAACCGTCGCGACTGTTCGCCCCATAACCGTCAACCGCCTTCAGCCTTGAGTCATGCCGCGGCGTAAACCCGAAACGTCGCGACCACTCATGCTAGCATCCATGCCGCGGCCTAAACCAAGCCACCCACGAGCTAACTGTCACTTGCCTTAGCTCCTCAAAGCCATCTCCGTTGCCTTGCCCCACGCTTGCCCAAGGCCCTGCCTTGCATGCCGCGGTCAATCAACACCCGATGCTCACGAACTAAGGGACAACCTTGATGCCACACCCAATGCCGCAGTCAAGCCAAGGCTAACTTGACCCGTCAAAGACCCTCAGAACTTAGGGGTCTAACAGTAGGCCACTATCCTACCATCGAAAGTTGATAGGGCAGAAATTTGAATGATGCGTCGCCGGCACTATGGCCATGCGATCCGTCAAGTTATCATGAATCATCGCAGCAACGGGCAAGAGCCCGCGTCGACCTTTTATCTAATAAATGCATCCCTTCCAGAAGTCGGGGTTTGTTGCACGTATTAGCTCTAGAATTACTACGGTTATCCGAGTAGTAGGTACCATCAAACAAACTATAACTGATTTAATGAGCCATTCGCAGTTTCACAGTCTAAATTAGTTCATACTTACACATGCATGGCTTAATCTTTGAGACAAGCATATGACTACTGGCAGGATCAACCAGGTAACATTCCTAAATGATGCCCCGAGCACGAGCGACGAAAGAACACTCAATGCAACAAAGCAGTCATGCGTAGGACTAGCGTGCCACATTGGCACACGGGGAAAGAAGAAGATGAATTCCAATGCCCCGTGCTTATACCAAATCCAAGAGCCATGCACAACTACTCGTATGCCCAGATCACAACCAAGGGTTGCACCGAGCACAAGTAGGCGTTTGGCGTCCATCCCACGCACACCCTCGCATACAAACGAGGACGAGCACAGGACGGAAATCGAGAGTTAACATGCAAAATGCCACCCGCAGCGGTATTCGACACCGGAAACCATGGAAAATCGGCCCCAGCAGCACCGAGGCAATCGACACTGAGAAGGCAAGGCGGCAAGACGTCATTGCTACGGCAATGATCCATCTTAACCACAAATGCCGGAGACAACTCACGCACCGTCTTGCATCGCAAACATCAAGTGCAACACAACTTACATCAACAGACCACACGGTTGGAATCGCTCCAAGCATATAGTCCACCACCGCAAGTTGAACGCCATGACACTCGCATCAATAAGTGCGAAAGGGAAAAGACCGAAATAAACCCACTAGTCGCATCGCCAACGAGAGGAGACCGAAACCACATAGAGTAAAGCAACTACTCGTGCCACGCCGTTGCAACCGACCGAAACCGACTAGTGCATACGGCGACCATGCTGAAACCCGGGCAGCGAAAGACCAACGCCGTGGACCGGAGAACCACGACCGAAAACCGAAACCCACATAGAGCAGTACAACTGCTCGTGCCACGCCATTGCAACCGACCGAAACCGACTAGTGCAAATGGCGACCTTACCGAAACCCAAGCAACGGAGAGACCAACGCCGTGGACCGGAGAGCCACGCAAAGAAACCGAAACCCACATCGTGTAGTGCAACTACTCATGCCACGCCATTGCAACCGACCGAAACCGACTAGTGCAAAAGGCGACCATACCGAAACCCAAGCAGCGGAAGGGACCAACGCCGTGGACCGGAGAACCACGACCGAAAACCGAAACCCACATAGAGCAGTACAACTGCTCGTGCCACGCCATTGCAACCGACCGAAACCGACTAGTGCAAATGGCGACCTTACCGAAACCCAAGCAACGGAGAGACCAACGCCGTGGACCGGAGAGCCACGCAAAGAAACCGAAACCCACATCGAGTAGTGCAACTACTCATGC